GCAGCGAGTAGCGTGGCAGGATCCGACCAGTGCCCTTCGACCAGCCGAAGCTGCTGCAGCGGCCTTGCCGGGATATACGTCTACAATTCCCACTCGAAGTTTTCCAAGTAGGCTCCGATGCGGTCGGGCGTGTAGAACGACGCTTCCTTGCCTAGCGAAGCATACGGCTTGTTGGAGACGACCGTTGATTGCGACACATCCGCCATCTCCTGAGCAGACGTGGCCAGCTCAGCAAGTGACGAGCTTCCAAAGACCTGACCAACTGTAATGTCGATGCCTTGTGCGCGCGCTTCCGAAACAAGCCGCATAGCTCCAATCGAGTCACCGCCAATCTCAAAGAAGCTTTCACTGGCCTTGATATCATTCTTGGGCATGCCGAGAATGCGACTCAAAAGCTCTACAAGTTTTTCCTCTGTGGCATTGCCTGCCAATGATGCGAGTTCGGCTAAAGACTTGCTCTGGAAGACTTGGGCAACCGTGAGCTTCAGGCCTTGGGCGCGAGCATCAGAGACTAGACGCATGGCGCTGATGGAATCGCCACCGAGTTCAAAGAAGCTGTCGCTGCCATTGATGTCTTCAGTTGGCATACCCAGGATACGGCTCAAGAGAGCTTTAAGCTTTTCTTGGTTTGGTGAAGTGCCAGCGTCTTGACGTTCGGGACTGGGAGTCCGTGGCATGGCAATGGCGCTATCACTCATGACATCCCTTGGCCTCAGTGCTTCAGCGTCGCGCTCTTCTTCTGGATCGAGAATGGCGACATCGCCCAGCTTGCTCTCGGGGTTACCCAAAAAGGCAAGCACAATGCGGTTCAAGACGACGAGGACCTTCTCCATAGCAGCCTTGCTGATGCAATTGTTGTCAAAGCTGGCCATGATCAAGAAGCCATTCTCATCCAGCGTACACACCAACATGAGTGCATACGTGTTGAACTTGAGAGCTTCGCGCGCAGCGTCGGAGTCGTCAGCAGGGAGTAAATTGTTTGCGGGATGGCTTTCGTCGACTATATTCCAGCCCTCCTCTTCCTTGGGATGCAAGACGAGACCGGTGCGCAAGTCACAAGCGACACGAGCGTCTTTACTCAGCCGGCGAATGTTTTGAAGACCCAAGTGCTCGTGGGGAATCTGCTGAACCGTCTGCGCATGGACAGTTTGCAGGTACTCGGAAATGGGTCGATCAAGAGCAAGTCGGACACGAATGGGCACTGTGGTAATCATTGGCCCCTCAATATCCTCGATGCCGGGCACTGGTGCTGAGCGGCCCGTAAGTGTTTCACCAAATACGATATCTGGGTGGCCCATGTACAAGGATGATACAAGAGCCCAGGCACCACGGATGATTGTTGCCAAAGTGAGCTTCGAGTGTGCAGAAGTTGGTACAGTGACGTAGTGCTCGAGCAGCGAATTTGCCTGGGTAACGTAGCCCTTTTCAGGCAAAGGAGGGAATTGGTACGGACTCGCTCCTTGCAGTCGCTCTCTCCAGTAGTTCTGAGCTTCAGCAGGATCCAGACTGGTGAGGTGTTTGATGAAGTGCCTGAACTCCGTGGGTCTTGTAGTTTCGAGACCTTCAAAAGCGCGATTGACGCGCTCATACACGAGAGGCATCGACCATCCATCGTAAACAGCATGATGCATGGTGATAATGAGGTGGCACTTGTCAATGGCAGGATCCTCCACTATGCCATAGCGAAAGAGCGCTGTGCCAAGATCCATGGGCTCTTGACGGTCAAGCTTCAGATATTCAGCAACACTACCTCCATGCTCTCGTAGAAGCTGTCCATCGTGGAGCACAACTTGGTACAAGCCGCGACCAGTCACGTTGACAATGCGAGTTCGCATAATCGGGGTTGTTCGGAGGGCAACATCAAACGCCTTCTTAAGCTGTAGACCCCTCTGGAATGGTAGTGTTGCGACTCGCTGCGCAACATAGGCATCCCGGAACTTGGCCGAGAGAGCCATGAGACCTTCCTGAAGCGGTGTGCAAGGATATACATCCTCGACTTGTGCAGGATCAACGCCACAGAGTTGAGCTCCTTCGATTCGAGCAGAATTGGCATCCCAATCCTGTCCAACCATGGAGAAGGGTGGTGCGTCCAAACTCTGTTCCCCGGACAAGAGCTTGGCCTTGGTAGCCATAGCCGATAGGGTCGGGTTAAGCATGATGTCGGGTACATTGAGCACCAACCCTTCTTCTCTCGCAATAGCGACTAGTCTCATGGCCCGGAGTGAATCGCCACCCATGCTGAAGAAGTTGTCATTGGCACTGAAATCGTCGTCCCCGCCGAGAAGTTTTGCCCAGAGACCCCTGAGCTTGAGCTCCATTTCGGTAGTCGCCTCCTTCTTCTCAGTCATTGTCGAGTTGAAGCGCCTGAGATCTTGACGAGTTACAGAAGTTCCAATCTCGCGAAGGCGCTTGCGATCGGTCTTGCACGACACGAGCAGTGGCATCTTCCAAAGCGGGATGTAAGCACTGGGTACCATGTAGCTGGGAAGGTCGGCCAAAAGCTGTGTGGTCATGGCCTTGAGTGCAGCCTGGAAATTGTTGGTGAAGCTGCCAAAGACGTTGCCGTCCAAATGGCGCATGCCATTCTTCTTTTGCTCCACCACAAAAGCGACCAAAGTCTGCTCGCCGCTACCGCCCGGCTTGATGACTTCGACTGCAAGCTGAGTATCAGCAGGAAGATGCTTCTGCATGTTGAACTCAATCTCAGCCAGCTCGATGCGTTGGCCGCGGAGCTTGACTTGCTGGTCCTGTCGTCCAACGAAGATGGGCTCGCCGTTGCCGTCGGGGTCGAAGCGTACCAAATCACCAGTCTTGTAGATGCGGCCGCGTCGGCCAGGATAGCGCTTGCTACCCTTGACGAGGAAATCAGGGTCCTCGATGAAGACCTCCTTTGTCTTTGCAGGGTTGTTGAGGTAACCGTTGCCAACAATGGGGCCTTCGATGAGAAGCTCACCAACTGCACCCACTGGTACGAGACGGTTGTGGTCTTCAGGCTCAGTCAACCAGATAGAACATCCCATGCGCTTTCCCATGGTGATGTACGACTTTGCGGCGACATTGTCGTTGATAGTAGCGCCAACTGTGGCTTCCGAAGGCCCATAGGCATTGACGACTCGCGTCCGTTGACCCCACGACATAGCATCGCTCGTGGAAACGCCTTCACCACCGAGCGCGATGGATTCTAGATTGTCCAGAATATCCACTTCCAGGGTCCGAGCGACTGAAGGAGTCATACCGGCAAAGGTGACGCGCATGTCGCGCATCGCACCGCTCATGTCATTCATTCGTCGCTCTTCAGAAGGCGTGCAAAGCGTACCTCCATGTCCAAGGGTGCAAAGCATCGAATCAATGCAAACATCAAAGGCATAGCTTGCAAAGTCGAGGACACGAGAATGCTCGTGGTAGCCCACTGCTGCGGCTCGTGGTATCGCACCAGACGTGTACTGGCTGTGCGTAATGATGCATCCTTTGGGAACACCAGTACTGCCGCTGGTGAATTGAATGTAGAGAGGCTGGTCTGGTGATACTGGCGGAAGCGAAGTCGCAGGCTTTGCGGCTACCCAGGGGGAGTAGACCTTGTCAAACTTCTTTTCGGAAACGGGAATGATGTCGGCAGATGGTCCGACTCGCGCAGCAAGTGTAGACTGCGCTTCGGAGGAGAGGAAGAGTTTTGCATTGACTTGTTGCACGACGGCGCGTAGTCGACCTTCTGGTTGTGCCGGGTCAAGCAGCGCAAAGCATGCACCTGCCTTCATGACTGCGAGCACCGCTACCGTGGTCCATCTCGACTTTTCAAACAGCACCGGAATGATTCGGTTGGGAGAATCATCCAGTAACCGCAGCGTCTGCGCCAAATCGTTCGAGTAGTCTTCCACTTGACGATATGTCAGACTCCCATCCCATGCTTCAATGGCAATCTTGTCCGGATTCGCCGCAGCCTTCTCGGAGACTTTCTCATGCATGCAAAACCTCAGTTCTGGATGCAGGGGCGTGTTCCAGCTCCACAATTCATCAAGCTCATCTTCGGAAACGGAATGGAAATCTACAAGGGGGCGATCAGGGTCGCTAAAGAGGGTATCAAGAATTGAAGCAAAATAGTGCAGCTGCGACACGGCTTGGTGTCGGGACATGTTCGATGTCTGCCATGTCGATGTGGCATACAAGGAGCCGTCCTGGAGTGTGAGCGAAGTCTCAAAGGTCCACTGTTGCGGTTAGTGATGTTGGGGAGAAGTTAGGGGTCAGCCTGTACCTCTTCAAGGGTGCCGTCGTTGAAAAAGAGGGTACCTTGTCCCAACGACAAGTTGTTGAGTCTCTGCTCTTGAATCTTGGTCTTTAGACCCGAAGCAGTCTTGTGGCTCCGCCAGTCGAGATTGAAAGCGGCCAGACACTGAGTACTGTCGCCACCTCCGCCCTTGATTCCCCACGTAAACTGGGAAAAGACATCACGCTGGTAGCGTTCTACAAGTATTGCCCAGGCAGCCAGAACTGTATCCAGCACGGCATCCGACGACAACTCCCTGGGAAGCGGTATCGGAATCTCATTTGCTTTGGCGGCTTGTTTGTTGATACGGGCTGTCTCGTCGCCACTGTTGGCATGCTCCGGACTGTGGATCTCGCCGTTGTTCTGAACCGCCTTCACATGCTCGTCCGGAACACCACTGAATCGCACCGTATGCTCGCCTTCTGGTAGATGCATCTTGCCCGAGTGTCTAGAGGATCGTCTCTTTTGTGAAGAATCAACACGACTATTTTCTGATGTCGAGGTGTGAAAGTAACGGCAGTCTTGCTTTGCTCGGAGATGGAAATCCCAGAATCTTCCGTAAAAAGACCCGGCCATTTCAGAGCCACGAGTTCAGCGAAGATGTCCCTTACGGTTCCCTCTTACTCCACAAGACGACTTAGGATGGTGCTCCGGCATACGCACTCCAATCCACCTCGGCCTACTACTCGGACGGCCATCGGCGCCATCATGTCCCTGCCGTCGTCGCATGTCTAGCAATGTGGGCAGTTGTCCACACATGCTCTAACGTAAGTGTGCGGGAGTCGACCAAATCGAGAGTAGTACTACGATTTAGCCGTACGGAAAATCCTCTTCGCACTAGAAATCCATCCCCACACTTGGCTCGGATCAGATAACTTTTCGGGTGGGCGTTGCTAGCTCGCATCTGATAAAAATTTTGATGCACACACGGGATGAGCGCCATGCAGGGTTACGTCGGTGCAGATCACTTTTCATCTGATAACGGCCAATGTTCGGACTACTGCAGCCCCGCCGCCAATGACACACACCAGACGCTTTCAACCGACTTCAACCGATCCATGACCGTCGATGCTGTGTGCTACTTGCATCGATGATTCCAGAATTCATCTGCCGGTTGGTGAAAAGGCCCGGTTCAATAGGAAAAGGTGCTGCGCGATTATAGACATTCCGAGACTAAACGGTATGCCTTTTCATCGCTGATCGCGGCTGTATGTACATGGTACACTACGTCATATCCTTTCTCTCACATGCCAAAAAATCCAGATATCTTCCAGCAGTGGACTCCCATCCGGGTGTCATAAAATACTGGACATACTAGTGTAAAAAAGCCACTGTAGTCGCCAGACATGTCTATTGGGTGCTTACCCACACTGTCCAGTATTTTATGTCACCCAGGTGCTCCTTAGCGGGAGTGCTTCGCTTGGGGCGGATCTGATAACTTTGATTTTCATGACTTCCAGGGGGCGGCACAGCAACGATACAAGTGGCCTGAGGTTATTTCCACCTTCCGGCCGGAGGCCTACTTCATGCACTAATCTCGCGGCTTGGCCTTGTGTACGTAGTCATTGCCGAGTGTTTGCCAAAGCATTGGCGTGGAGTAGTGTGCAAGCAAAAACTTCTTCGGCGAATTGCTGGATCGTGGGTCTTCTTTCAGGTATCGTGGGTCAGAAGTAACGGCAATAACCGACTATGCTACCACGGTCGTATTACATATCTGAGCCATGTTTGTTGCGCCTGAAAACCACGACTCCATCACCGATACGAGTTGTTGGCTGAACGGACCATCGGTCTAGAATCCATTGTACCACTTGTCGACCTGCATTGCTGCCAGCCACTCATCATGGGTTTCATAGTGCTCCCTGCATTGATCCCCGACATTAGTGCCGTGTACGACGTCTACTTTGCAGCCTTCAAAGACAAAGCAATCACGCGGGCCCTCTTCCCATCGGCTACAGTAGCCGACTTGGTCGATGCAAAGTCAGAGTTTCGGTTAGTACAGTTCACCTACGAAAGACGACTGTGCTGACTAGGCAAAGCCAGGGCCATACAGCTCACACTCTCGAGTGGTGGAAAACTAGCCTGACGCAATATACCTACAAATGTGTCGATACCGAAACCAATCGGGTTATCGGCATGTCGCTCTTTGATGTCTATGTAACACCAAGTGACTGGAAAAAGGGCGAGATTTCGTGGCTGGAAGGGAAGGAACGTGAGCGAGCCGAGAGTTTCGTTATGCCGCTTTGGAATATGAGAGAGAAACTGTGGCTTAACGAGCGCTACGTGTATTGTCACGTCATGGCGGTGCATCCAGACTTTCAAAAGAGAGGTATTGGTGAGCTCATGTTTAAGTTTGGCACAGCAATTGCACAGCAAGCTAAGCTGCCATTGTACATTGAGAGCTCAGCGGACGGAAGAAGATTGTATGAAAAGATGGGATGCAACAAACTGAAAGTAAAGGAAAGCTTAGTAGATGATGGTCAAGAAGCTCCGCTATTCGTATGGATGCCAGAAGGAGCAAGTCTACCCAAGGCTGTAAAATTGGCATGAAGCAAAAAGTGGAATTATATTAGTTTCCAACCTCAACCCAGCATCTGGTGAAGAGCATTGACGCGATAACTCTCGCTGCGTTGTACTAGTTCGTCGTGTCGTCCTTGATCCACCACCTGACCTGCTTCCACCAGGAAAATGATATCGGCTCTTGCAATCGTCCTCAGACGATGCGCAATAGCAATGACTGTGACGCCGTGGCCCTTGACCGCACGTTCGAGGCCAAGCTCTAGGGCCTTTTCGCTCTCTGCATCAAGTGCGCTAGTGCTCTCGTCCAATAATAGCAACTTTGGTTTACGCACAAGAGCTCGGGCGATCGATAAGCGCTGACGTTGTCCACCGGAAAGCTGGTTGCCACTGGAACCGCATTCGGTATCGTAGCCTTGTGGAAGCTCCATGATGGTTTCATGAATATTGGCCAGCTTGCAAGCTTCTTGAATTTCCTCATCCGAAGGTGTGTGTCCAGGCCGTGCTCCTAATCCAATGTTGAACTTGATACTTCCTTGGAAAAGCACGTTCTCTTGCGGCACATAGGCAATATCGTCGCGGAATGATGTGCCGTGATGACGCGCAATGTCGAACCCGTTGATCGTGATGCTTCCAGATGAGGGCGTATAGAACCTCTCCAAGAGAGCCAGAACGGTACTCTTGCCGGCACCTGAAGGTCCAACGAGGGCGCAGAATTGACCAGGCTGTATGTTTAGCGATAGAGATATGAGGACAGGAACGCCAGGGCGGGCAGGGTATGAGAAGCCCACGTCCCGGAAAACAATGCGCGCTCCGCCATGCGTCGATGCCGGTAGCGGCGAATCCGCCATGGCCTCGACATCGCCTTTTTCGTTGGAATTTTTAGGTCCAGACGTATCTTGACCTAGCTCAATCAACCCGCAAATGCGAGAGATTGCACTATTGGCCTTTTCAATCTCGGGAGCAAGAGTGAAGAGCTGGCCCCATAGTTGCGCAGAAATGAGCATGGCAATGAGGATGATGAAGAAGTCCGTCGTGGTGTACCTTCCTTCTACAATATTCTTGGATCCCCACCAGTACGCAAAAGCATAGATGAAGCTACCGCATGAATTGGCAACTGCTAGCCATACATTGGTTTTGAAGCTTTGTCGTACCATTTCCTTGCGCGGAGCCTTGAGCGACCTCCGATATGTCTGCACAATTTCGTCCTCAATAGAGAGCGCGTGGACAGTCTTGATGTTTGAGACGGCTTCAATCGTCACCCCGATCGACGAGGTAAAGGCCCCAGCGTGCTTGACGGCAAAACGTCCGATGGCGCGTAGCTGCATGTAGCCAGCACCCAGAAGGATCGGGACCACAACAAGGCACACAATAGCAATCCTCCATGCAATGATGTGGGAAAGGATGATGGCTGCGCAGAAGTTGACCACGACAGCAAAGAGGGTACCGATGATGGAGCCGCTGAATCCGGCTAGCGCGTTGCCGTCCTTGGTAATGTACTCTAGCAACATAGATGGACTCCTCGATTCCGACTCGTGCCATTGCAACGGCTGTCGCAAAAGCGTAGATAGTGACATGTTGCGGACCCGGAAGATCAGTCGCTCGGATATGAGGCCAAACACCGCCCAGCTGGTAAAGTTGGCGAGAAAGGCGACGCAAGCAACCATGAACCATAGTCCGGAGAGTAACTCTCCCTTTGATCTGATGTAGTCAGGGGAATTGCAAGGCGACATTGTGCCCATGACGTTTCCAAACAAAAGACCAGACGCGCAGTACTGACCGCCAACGATCAAGGCGGCGAACAAGGCCAATACAACAAGCAGTAGATAGGGTCGCGTTAGGGGAAGCATGGTCTTGCGGATAGAGCCTGCAACGACTACGCCCTTGATTGGCTCGGCAGGTTCAGGTGTTGATGGAACGTCAGCCTCGGATGCCTTGAGATGCTGCTTCTCACCGGATATCGTGTCGGCATCCTGCGATTCTAGACTGGTCCGGGAACTAGATACGGTATCATCCGTCTTTACGGTTTGCAGGCGAACCATGTCGGCGTACGATCCGTTCAAGTTCATCAGCTCATTGTGGGTACCCTGTTCGATAATGTCGCCCTTTTTCATCACGACGATCTTGGCTGCAGCCCTAATGGTTGACAATCGATGAGCAATGGAAACGACTGTTCGACCCCGAGAGGCACGTTCAATGGCTGCTTGAATGCGCTGTTCACTTGCAGAGTCGAGGGCAGCAGTAGCCTCGTCGAGAATGAGGATCCTAGGGTCGCGGACAAGAGCTCGTGCGAGGGCGATACGTTGCTTTTGTCCACCACTGACAAGACTGCCGCTTGAGCCTACAGCGGTCGCAAAGCCAAACTCAAGGCGATCGATGAATACGGCAACATCGGCGAGGTTGGCAGCATGCTGTACCAGTTGGACGATTTCCACCACCTAGCCATGAAGTAAGCAAACGTCAATTATCATGGAAGCATTCCACATACCTCGGCACCAGCTTTGGCGGCTGCTTGAGTGAGTTCCTGGCCGTTGCGAACGTCCTCGGCCACACGAGCAAGAATGCCAGAAAGCAAAGTCTGTTCCAAATGCGCATGGGGTGGAGAGTTGACGAGACCGAGAGCAATATTCTCCAAAATGGATCGGTCCAGGAGTGATGGCTCTTGCTGTACAAGACTAATGAAACCACGGAGACTCTTGACGTTGATATCCTTGACATTCTTACCATCTAGAAGAACGTCGCCAGATTGTGGGTCGTAGAATCGGCTAATGAGGCTTGCGACGGTTGACTTGCCGCTTCCAGATAAGCCAACAATGGCAGTTAGTTGCCCTGCCTCGCACTTGAGAGATATATTATTCAAGACTGGATGGTCTGGTCTTGAAGAATATGTGAAGGCGACATTGCGAAACTCGATGGCTCCACTCACACTGGTGGGCTTTTCGGCAGATGTGCGAGTGTTGTCAATGGTGGGCTGAGTTTCAATATCTTTGCGCAACCGCTCAAAGGCAGAGACGGCTCCTCCAAAGAGTGGCAGCATTGGTGCAATTTGACTGAGGACAATGGCACCTGGAAAGGTTAGAGGGAACTATGGAGAGGGGATAAAGTACTTACCATCTAGAAGAATGAACGTGACGGTATAGATTTGACCAATCGTGGCGTTACCCTTGCCCTCTAGAGAGTCGGCAACTCGGCGACTACCTTGCCAGTATCCCAAGGAACTGGCGGAAAAGGCAATAAAGTAGAGCAGTCCCGCTTGTACAGCAGCAGCCGTGGCCTTTTTGATACCGTACCCGCGGGCCTTTTCCAGGTGTCCCTCAAACTTGGCTTCAAGTCTAGCATTAGCTCCGAGAGCGTGCACAAGGCCAACATGACTGAGAGCTTCAGATGCAATGGCACTGGCGGATCCAAAGCAATGTCCCACCTTGGCGCTGTATTTGCCAACAAAGTGACTGCCAATTGTTGCCATGAGCAAGAATGCGGGAATCAACGAGACGAGCATGCCTGCAAGTTCGGCATTCTTGATGAATCCGACAATGTATGCCGTTACACAAAACGAGGCGCAGGTCAAGGCAACGCCAACCTTTGCGCCAGTTCCGCTCTCAATCGCTTGGATGTCACCGTTGAGACGGGAAGACACTTCTCCGGCTTGAAGATTGTCGAAAAAGGCCATATCCTGGCGAAGCAGGTTCCGTAGATAGCGGTCTCGGATGCGCTGCGCTAGTCGTTGTGATGCCAAGTTCCAGCATACTAGGTGTATGTATAGGCAGGCGAAATTGCCAATGGCAATGTAGACGAGTAGTAGAATCTTGGGTTTAATTTGGGCTAGGTCAGATCCATTGGAGACGCCAACCCTGTTGTTACAGTTTGCTACATTGATCTCATCAACCAATTGCCCAAAGACGATGCCAATGAGTGGAAAGGGGACGCCGGCCGCAATGGCTGCTATGGCGCCAACAACAACGAGTATCTTGTCGAGCCATGTTGGGTCCGCGTAGAAGAGGAGGTGTAAGAAACCAAAGAATGACCTTATAGAGGCCCGCGAAGGCTTCTTGATGGCCATAGATGCAACAAATGTTCAGCCGCTGAGAAGGAGATGCTACGGTGAAGCATAAAGACACCTGCATGACGATAGACAGGGCGCCATGGCCACACCAAGACACGACAGCCCAGATCGACATGGTGCAGCGGGTATTGAGGACCACGCCGTCCGGGCAGGCGACCTTTGTCACGTGAAATGCAATGTGCGGCCATAATGAATGTGGGTGGGGAAGGATGGATCACTAGCATCATAGGCGGGCGATGTTCGGGCCAGGCCCCATCAGATTAGATAAGATCAACACTAAAACGAAAATTTTCGAGCGAATATGCAAGCCATCACCCGTACCAGCTTTACATCCTTGCCTGCACTTGCATCCCCCCATCCCGTATCTGCGTGGACCCCGAGGATGCCTTGCGCACGATTTCGCCAGCCGTCTGTGCAATGTCCTTGGCTAGTGCACGCCCTCCTTCCGACTTAGATGACACTAGCCACAACCGGCAGCTCTCTGCGACAGCATCGCGCTTGAACTGTACCTCCTCCAAGCTTTCACCTTTTGGTCGGCAGCCCAGAATTAGTCCATCTATGCTCTGAAACAGAGCGTTGCTCGGCGCAGGTCTTATGGCAGTATCTCTAATGATGAAGTCGGATTTTGAGCACGCGGCCGCCGTGTCTTTGCCGATAATGATGCGAAGCCTGTACTCGCCCTTGGATTGGACCTGCTTCTCGTACGCGCGCATATAAAGCGTCTTGACCATTTCCGACGCTTCCGTAATAGATGGTTGGCAGTTGGTCGGCTTGGCCCAAATCGAGCATAGCTGTGGTTGCGGCGGCTTGGCCTCGTCGAGGATTGTTAATGGGAGAAGCGACGCGTCCTCTGTAACGACGGTAATGTTGCCTAGACGAGGACATGACAGGAGGTCGTCTAGTATCTCGATTGTCCTGTCTCCAGAGCCGACTACAGAGACGTTTAGTGGTGGCTGATGAGCACCTCGCAACTCATTCCTTCGGCTCTGGTATTCGTCCATGGAGATGATTCGTTGTCCAGCCAGGAAATCGACCGTAGGTAACGGCGGCGCAGCTGGACCAGTCGCTCTCGATGGCGAGGGCGCAACAACACTGGCCGCCTGTACAATGTACGATTTGCCGCTATTATCCTTGACCGACACCCTCCAGCACTGTACCTGCCCTGATTTCACTGCTGGAGCCACACCAACTACGTCGTTGCTATAACGCACATCCTCCTTGAATTGTTCTGCGCACCACCTCATATAGTCTTCAAACTCTTCCCGCAGAGGGTTGAGCCGGTCCGAGTTTGCGAATTCGACGAGACGTTTGCGAGCGTGGAGGTAGTTGACGTAGCTAAAGGATGTTCGTGGGTTGCGGAGTGTGGCCAAGTCATACATGAACGGACTCTCCATTCGCGTCCTCGACATGTGCGATCCCGAGCCCCATGAAAAGGTCGATTTTCGCTCCAGAAAGAGCATACTTGAAGGTTTCTTGGTTTCGCGGTTCGCAATAGCTGTCGCCAGCTGAGCGGCGCCAAAGCCGATACAGACGACATCATACCGAGTTGCATCCAACGCAGATGAACCTGGTGAAATATGCATCTCAGGAGAAGTCATGGTGACAAAATTGGCAAACGATTTGGTTCAAAAGAGTTGTGGTTGATCTTGAAGATTGCAAGATGATCTAACGCTAAGAATTTAATCTTCAAATACCAGTCGCACAGTTCACGCACAAAACGAGAAGCTTGCGCATTGACCTGTGACTGCCAGCTATAGCGATGTCCACACCCAAAACAACGATCTCACCGACCCTTGGCGTCGTCGGCATAGTGCTCGATGCTACCACGACCTGCATACATACGTATGTGCCAGACTAGGGTCGGATGAGACCCACTTAGTATATTTCAGCCACCCACTCGGAGCTTTCATCGTACCACAACCAGTCGCCTCCCTGTCACCAGCGATTCTTGCCGGGAAATGGGTAGTGTATCCGCCTAAGACTCTGTAATAAAGTGTCCAGAGCTATCCCAGATGCTAGGAACGACCTCGGCTAAGCTCTGTTGCCGTACCACCATAGACATTTTGTAGCTCACACCTCTACAACAGTCGCAGTCATATCAGCACCTACATTATTTTCTGGTAATCAAAATGGCGCAACAAGCAAAGCCTAGCCAGGAACCACTTGTCCTCAAGCTTCCTCACCCATATCTTACCACATATACCATTTCCAATGTTGCTCCATCAGGCCAACCCACCAGCTATCAGATTCAATTGATACCATCTACCTCTACTGGAAAAGAAGTTGCTCCACCCACAGTCTTACACAATGAAGCCATATCATTTACCGATATTGCGACTTTGGACGGAGACGCAGTACCCCCGACTCGAGACAACAGTTCCTGGGCGCGCGCTCGAAGATCACCATACCTGACAGTGAGCTGGAACCAGGATCGGCCGTCTGTCCCGCAGCTATGGCTCGTTGCCTATGCATTGGTTTCGCTGCACCCTCTAGTCGAGAGTTTCCGCGTCGTCCTTTCCGGAAAGGACTCAACCTCACTAGCACAAGAACTATATGGCACTGGTCTCTTCCACCCGCATCCAAAGGCATCCAACCCAACAGCACCGCAGGATGGTCACCTGCTTCTCAGAGCTACCTTTTGGCAAGGAGCTGGATCGCCCTTTGGTGTTCGTCCAGTTTGGGCACCGCACCTCGACGCTAGTGGTCAGCCCATTACCAGGCGCTACCCTCCTTTTCCGTATCAAAATGCACCTTCCACTCAATGGCCGGCAGTACCACGGCACACCACGCACCCTGTTCGGGAACCAAAACCTCAACCAGGCTCCATCGTCTACAGCCGCTGGTTGCCGCATTTGAAGGAGCATTTCTCTATGACTGCCCTCGACTATACTAACGACGAACACCTGCGCCTCTTCAATAAGTGGCAAAATGACCCACGTGTCGCTGCCGGCTGGAACGAAACCGGGACCCTGGATCAGCACCGAGAGTACCTCCGAAAGTTGCATGAGGACCCCCACGTCCTTACCATGCTTGCTGCCTTTGACGATATATTTTTTGGATATTTTGAAGTCTACTGGGCGATGGTACGTTCATATATGTATTAGTGTTATCGTACAAGTTACTAATAGTCTTGCAGGAAGATCACATGGGCGCTCACTATCAATCCTCGCCGTATGATCGCGGAAGGCACTTGCTAGTCGGTGATGTCAGATTCCGAGGCCCGCACCGCGTTTCCGTGTGGTGGTGCAATGTCATGCACTACATGTTCCTGGATGAGCCGCGTACCTGGAACATTGTCGGCGAGCCGGCGGTCACAAGCAGTACCGTGCTAGCATATGACTTTGCCACCGGATTGCACGTGGAGAAGATTATGGACCTTCCACACAAGCGCAGTGCCCTCATGATGGTCAACAGGGAGAAATTCTTCACGCTGAACTCTTTTGTCTGGGATGGCGAGAGAAGGGTACGACCGAGTCTTGATCTCGGCGCAAAGTTGTAATTTGTGTATTTTATTCCTGTATGTAGCGAGCGGTACGCATCATGAGATTTCAACGTAGTCCGTACAACATCGCAGTTCATGTCGCGTGACCATTTACATCCCGTGCCTCGCCTGTAACCTCCCGATTTGGATCTACAATACACTGTTTCTACAAAACGTGCACAAAGAAACAGCCATGCATGCATCTATCTAAACAATCCGTCCCGCGCCAACTTAAACAGCGCTCACGTCACGACGCATGCACATGACGGAACCGTGCATGCACACCCACACCCCTCGGCCAATAAAGACGCCACCCACCGCGCCCACTAACCCATGCCATGCACGCAGCGGATCAGATAATTAACCGCAAGCCCGCAACACAAGCCACCCAAAAAGTTATCTGATCCGTCCGTCCATGACTTCACGGCCCTCGTCGTCGGACGTACGAGCGGGCTGTCGTGTATGCGGTGCGGTGGCTTTGCGGAGGTACGAGTGGGTAACCACGACAGCAACAGCAACAGCGTGATTTCTAATGGTGATAGTGTGGAGCACTTTTGCCCTGGTACGTACGTACGGTAGAAGAGAAACCGGCTGTCGGTTACTTTAGTGACTCGCAGCTGGCATCATGCCACGCCGTTGCCGTTTGGTGTGGGTAGAAAATTATCAGATGCAGTAGTTTAGCCTCGCGTACCGTAGTCAGCTAGCAGGACGCCTGACTCTCCATCTGATAGGGGGCATTAATCTGATTATGGGCCGTGGCGCAGAGATGCTTGAACGGATCAGATAAAAATTCGGAAACAGCACGCCGAACGACGACCACGGATGCTCGCCCGGATGGAGGAAGTGCAGGCAGGATGTGGGGGTGCTTTACTTTAGCGCTAGCGTGTGATTTTCGATCTGATAAAAATTTTCAACCGACCACGTCTAGCTTGACGCTAGTTGTCGCTTCTGGGTCTCGGGGCGCTTGGGCTGGATTGGGGTTTGATCTGATAAATTTTCTTCCTCTACACCAACGCCAGCGAAGAGCCGATGTCGCGTGCCCGGTGACCGACTGGTGGAGATGACTAGTGTGGGGCGTTTAATCTTATCAGATGAGATGTTTTTCTAACATATGAACCAAAATAGTTGCGTCCGACCCTTGTTTTTTCTCGTCGACCCCTCGCTTATGCTGGCCTGCCTTGGTCTCGCAACGGTGACTGACTGGTGATTTGGCAGCCTTGTCTAGCCCGATACTTGCAGGACGTGGCGACTGTTTGACAGCCTTGTCTAAGCTGCTTGCAGGCAACATTGTGCATGTTCTTTCTGCAGTGTGCGAGTGTTGTGGAACATTATCCACTACCAAGATACCATACCGTACCGTACTCATCCACAGTTGCCCGCCACCCGAGAAGGATCCATGGCTTGTCATGGCTTGTCATGATTTGTGTCATTCCTTCCAAGCTTGACACTCGATACCGGCCGGTAGTCACGCAGTCACGCTTCAACTTCCAGATCAAGTCGTAGAGTCTTGGACTTGTAGTGGCGAGGCATTTTCGGCATCTGGAAGCCCCTTTTGGAACATGTCGTATCCACGGTCCGCGCGTCTGAGACATGAATAACGGACGTCGGATGGTCGCTAGAAGCTTCAAGGGCTTGGCCTTGGACTTGCTTGGGGGTCCCACTTCGCTGGGGTCGGCGCTTCCATGCTTGGGTCAGTGGGTGGAATGGTGTGGAAGGGTGCGTCGTCTGGAAGGAGGATTTGATCCGAGAGATTGAGCTGGGGCGTGTTTTTGTGGTGCGTCATTGCTGTGGGTGCCATGTGTGGGTGCAAGCGTGCGTGATATCAGGGGAGGATGGGCGAGGGTGTGAATTGATTCGGTGTCTTGCTTGTGAAATTTCTTGTCGCGTGGTCGCTTCAGTTGTGTACGATACTTGTTTCGTTCGTGAATACCGTACCTGCGTGCGCTTTGTGTGGTTTCGGAGATTTCGTTGCATAGGTGTTACTGGATCGAAGTTCAAAGGGTCCAAGTACTCTTCCCTAGATCCTAATTTACCTACGTGCTCTTGGTCAAGACGAAATCGCCCACAATGGGGGAAATCCACCATCCCCACGACCAAAACCCTGCCCTCCATCGCCTGAATCAAACCCTCCTCCAGATAGACCCCTATATCCTACCTCCCTACCCCAACCTCTCCCTTGTCTCAGGGCCCCTGGACCCACCACTCCTCTCCCTCACGCTCTCCCAACTTCTACGTCAGCAAGCCACACTTCACGCCTCCAGGGAGGCAGTCGTGATACCATGGACGGGTGCACGATGGACTTATCAAAAGCTATGGGAGGAGTCGAGTTTGCTGGCACGTGCGTTGTTAAAGCAGGGTGTGAGGCCGAAAGATCGAATTGGTGTCATGAGCGGGAACTGCGAAAAGTACATTGCGTTAGTTTTTGCGACTGTGAGGGTAGGGGCTGTTTGTGTGACGTTGAACAATACGTATACAGCTACGGAGGTGGAGTATGCGCTGAGGCATACTAGTAAGTACTTTTCATGTGTTTCTTCTTTCGAACCGGATGGGTTTGGTGAGAGATACTGACGGCGGATAGGGTGTACGATGTTATTTACCACACCGAAGATTGCGCGGTTCGACAATATGCCGTTACTGGAGAGGCTGGGGAGAGATGATGTTGGCGATGTACTACCAGACCTCAAGAGTGTGTGTTTGATCCGCGGGCAGTTCGGCGAGTTTGTGAGCTACGAGACTTTCAGAAAAGAAGGAGAATATGTGCCGGAGCAGATCCTAGATATCTTTGGTGGTATCACAAGTCCGCATGACGTCGCGAATTTGCAGTTTACAAGTGGGAGTACGGGGAATCCCAAGGCGGCTATGTTGACGCATCAGTAAGTTTCCCTTACCATGTCCAAACTTGAGGATCTAGACTGACGTCTCACAAGTAACTTGGTGAACAACTCGCGCTTTATCGGTGACCGCATGGACTTGACACCCAACGACACCCTCTGTTGTCCACCCCCGCTCTTCCACTGCTTCGGTCTCACGCTGGGTGTTCTCGCCGTCCTCACGCACGGTGCGAAGATTGTGTTTCCAGCCGAATCCTTTGACCCAGTAGCGTGTATGCGCGCTATTGACGAAGAACGCTGTACCGCACTGCATGGTGTACCCGCAATGATGGAATCCATCATGGACGTTCCGCGACCCGCTGGCTGGACCAGTATGCTCCGAACAGGCATTGTAGCAGGTAGCCCCGTACCAAAATGGCTAATGGAGCGCATGGTCAATGAACTACACATGACCGACTTTACTTCGTCATACGGACTTACAGAGGCCAGCCCGACGGTGTTTAACGCACATACGAATGATTCTCTACATGCACGGTTGACAACAGTAGGTACGGTGATGCCACATGCGAGGGTCAAGATTGTAGATCGGAACGATGTTGTTGTGCCAATTGGCGTGAGGGGTGAGCTGTGCGTTGCGGGATATCAAGTCTGTCGGGGTTACTGGGAGAATGCGGAGAAGACGGCGGAACTCATTGTTAGGGATGAGTATGGCGAGCCTTGGTTGCATACGGGTGATGAGGCTGTGTTGGATGTTGATGGTTATTGTACGATTACGGGGCGGTTCAAGGATATCATCATTCGCGGTATGTTGTCACATTGTTGGCTGGGGATGAAGACTGACGAAACAGGCGGCGAGAACATCTATCCCCTCGAGATTGAAGAACGACTAGTCGCGCATCCGTCGATTGCGCGTGCCATCGTTGTGGGCGTATCGCATCCGCGCTACGTCGAGGTTCCTGTTGCATTCCTAGCACATGAGTCCGGTACTGGAAAGCCCGACTTGGCTGAGGTGCAGAAATGGGTGAGAATGGTGCTAGGCCGGCATAAAGCACCCGTGCATATATTTTGGCTAGGCGAAGACTGCGATGCAGAGGTACCGCTGACCGGGAGCGGGAAGATCAAAAAGTTCGTGCTAAGAGATGTTGCGGAGAAGTTGTTGGGGCAGAGGTGAGATTGAGGTCACGTGCGGACGTGCCGCGGTCGAGTTTTAGCGTGTTGGCATTCTGCATCATTTTCATCGTCTATTCCACGTCTTCAATGTAACAATTCCTCTTATTGCATTTCATGGCATCGCATTCAATTCATACGTCTCTTCTGATTGTATTCTCTCGATCTGGGCTGATTTCGAGCTAAATGGCTTTGCTTTGTTTCGAGCTCCTCGGAGCTGTGTGCTGCGCGCAACAGACGTCAGTATATCGTCAAAGATACACCATGGCGCGGTGCCCAGCTGCCTCCACACTTGACACCTGACTATACTGTGAGCCATGGCCAATGATGAGCGAGGCATTACATGAGCTCGTCATGATTATTGACTGTTTAGGCACATACATAACATGTGCCTCCACGTGAATAGCAGTCGCGCTCATTATCGTGAGAGATGTCCTTGCTTACTCGTCGTCTCCTCACTTCCTCTGCCTTACGAAACACCTCACGATTATCCTCGATACGCGCAGCTTCATATAGCACTTCCAATAGTAGAACTGCACTCAAACACCAACCTACACCCGCGTTTGCTAGACAACGAGCAAGCATGGCGACCATGACTGGTGACGCATCTGTAGCTACGGCCAAAATGTCGAGCCCTGAGCACTTCCGATATACCAGCGGCGAGACTGATCCCGTCTGGGTTCATGAGTTGCCCTTCAAGAGCATGCCCAAGTTTCCAAAGCTTGAGAAGGACCTCGAGACTGACGTCTGCATCATTGGCGCTGGCATTTCTGGTGTCTCGGTTGCCTATGAGCTTGTTAGCCGTGGTCTCAATGTCGTCTTGATCGAGGCTCGCGAGGTGCTTTCGGGTGAAACTGGACGCACCAGCGGTCATCTCGCCAATGATCTCGACGACGGCTACACTGCGATTGCGAAAAAGCATGGAGACAAGGGCGCACAGGCTGCGGCAGAGTCACACACATGGGCGCTGAACCGCGTTGGGGAGCTTTCCAAGCAGCTGGGCATCGAGTGCGAGTACCGCCAATTGCCTGGCTATGACTTTTCGCAGTACCCCAAAGACTCCAAAGACCATGCCAGTGACATGGAGACTTTGATTGAGGATGGTAAAAAGGCCATGGAGTTCGGCATCTCCACAGAATACAAGGAGGGATTCAAGCTCAAGGGCTGGGAAGGCAAGATTGACCAGCGCGATGCCGTCATCTACTCCGGACAGGCGACGTTCCACCCGACCAAGTACGTCGTTGGCCTCCTCGAACATCTCAAGAAACAGCCCAACTTTGCTTGCTACACAAACACTCGATGCATGGACGTGCAGGAGAAGGGTATTGAGATTATGGGCTTGGGTCACAAGGACGTATACGTAAAGACAATTGACGGTCACACTATCAAGTGCACTGATGCTGTTGAAGCAACGTGCGTGCCGCTCCAGAAGTTGTCGGTTATTGCTGAAGAGGAATTCTACCGCACCTACTGCATCGCCATTCGCGTCCCCAAAGGCTCCGTCGAGGATGCTCTGTTCTACGATTCGGCCGAAGCGTACAAGTACGTTCGACTCACACGCTGTGACGACAAGGACGACTATCTGGTTGTTGGAGGTGGCGATCACAAGGTCGGCCAGGATGACACAGTCGCGCCGCTCAAGGAGCTCGAGGAGTGGACCCGTGCTCGCTTTCCTCAAGCTACTACGATCGACTACAAGTGGAGTGGACAGATCTTTGAGCCTGTAGATTACATGGCGTTTATCGGCAAGAATCAAGGTAACAAGCACATTTACATCGTCACCGGCGACTCTGGCAACGGCCTGACTCACGGTGTCCTGGCTGGCAAGCTCATTGCCGATTCCATCACCGAACAAGCCAACCCATGGATCAGCGTCTACGACCCTAAGCGTCTTGCTTCTATCGCAAAGTCCGCCGGCAGCATGCTCAGCCACGATCTCCAAATCAACGCGCAGTACAAACGCTTCGCCCAATCTGATATCCGCGACATTGAAGACCTTGTCCCTGGTGAGGGCGGTGTCTTGAACAAGGGCACTGAGAAGCCGCTGGCCGTATACAAGGACGAAGGAGGTCAGATCCACAAGTTCTCGGCTCTATGCCCGCATCTCAAGGGTGTGGTGTGCTGGAACACGACAGAGAAGAGTTGGGATTGTCCTGTACATGGTAGTCGGTTCAGCAAGGACGGAATACAGCTTTGTGGGCCTGCCAAAGCGGGCCTGCAGCCTGAGGATGAGAGCGGTGAAAAGATGCAGAAGCAGGCTGTCATGGGATGAGAGACTTGAGGCTGGAGGTGTTCTGCGTCACTTGACCTGGTTTCCTGGTCTGACTGGTAGTTCGTGATGATGAGGTAGAAGATTAATGGACGCAACTAATAACATTTCATGACTATTGTTCCGATTTGCAGTGACATATCGCGGTGTCAAAGCGTACGGCACTCAATTCTTTATTGTGCCGCAAGTATCATAGTATCCGTCAAACAATCTACACATCAGTCGCACTTTCCTCCCTCCCCCGCCTTGACGAAAGCAGCGGCAACCTCGACACAAACGATCTCATCGTCCCCCCTCCACCCGTCATCTCACTCGCATTCGTTACCCTCCCCATCTCCACTCCACCCTGCCAATCCCCATGCGACACGGTATACGTCTGCCTCTTACTAATCCCATTCAACGCGCCCGACCCTCCCGTCCCCGCCTCGGCAGCACCCCTCCTCCCATTCCACCCCTTGACCCAAATCGCGCGTATACTAGGTAAATTAACCGCTACAGCCGCGAGGTTCAACTCCAACGCCACCACAATCATGACCTCACCAATGTTCTTTGACGTGTTTACCAGACTCTGCACGTAGACGACAGAGTGGAAGCGGATGCAGCTCATGATGACGGAGGAGCCGCCGAAGAGGAAGACGGAAAGGATGGCTAGTTTGCGCTTTGTGGGCATGTGGAGGCCTAGGAGTGTAGGGATGGGGAGTATGAAGACGTAGATGTCTAGGAGGACGTTCTGTTGTGTGTTAGCTTTATCTCCCCCTCTATCATATCAGGACATGGGGACGGGTTGGACTGGCAAAAGGAGGGGGAAAGGGTGGAAGATAAGCGTACCACAACAGCAGGTCCGATCAACACAAAATCCCGATCCATACAAGTTGCTTTCAACCTCGCAAATGTATGCAACGCCGCCGACACGGGAATGCACTGGAAAATGATGATGAGCAGGTTTATCAGCAGAGAACCGATGTTCAACCCAATGCCGATGCCTGTCCAGAGGCGGAATGTGCGGTTTGGTGATAGCCGGAGATAGAAGGCGAGGAAGGTGGACTTGATGAGGAAGTGCGTTAGGGAGTAGTAGATCGCGAGGACGTAGAGGTACTGGGGGTGGTTAGTTAGGGGCAGATGGGAATGGGAAGGGAGGGGATGGGGCGTACTTGGACAAGTTTCTCGCCGGGGTCGAGGTAGTTGCATTTGTTTGGTGGGGCCCTGAGCTTTGTCAGTTATATGTGCGGCGTGTAAATGCGTGTATAGAAAAAGAGGGATGGTGAGTTGAATAACTTACTTTCCACACCCCAATATCAAAGCTGTTTCCCAGAAATACAAGGCGCCTATCAGAGCAGCCTATGCTCGGTATATCAGTACATAATCTTGTATAGGGGAAGTGAACTCACCAAAACCAAAAGACCCAAGTAATCATCCGATTTCCACGCATGCTTCACGAACACACAACTGTACACCCGAAGTAGACATGAGAAGATCCCGAGTAGGAAACAGAACCATGTCATAAAATATGCGGCTATACGTAGAGAGGAAGACATGATCGTGTAAGTAGGGTATGAGGTTCGCAGTGAGGTTTAGTCAAAGTGTTCAGTTGGGTGTTGTTGCTGTTACCTGTGAAGCTTGTCTCTGTGATATGTCTTTCCATTGATTTGCCATGCTGGCTGCGAATGGAACATTTTTCGCACTGGACAAAGGCACCCGACGACGTGGTGGGTGGGACATGGATTCATTGTTTGATTGTTGACGGAAATGGGTTTGGCGTGGATGACGACGCTGATGAATTGAAACTCGCGGTTATCCCGGGTCCGCGGAAAGATATACATGATTTGAGATCAGCGGCGAGATGGCCGTGCGTTCATTCACGGGGGAGTTGTGATGTTGCGGTGTGCTGGCGAGTGCAGATGAGTATAATGGATACCCCACCGTTGTACACGAGAACATGGCGGGGTCAGGAGGCCTTCGCAATTTTGGGGAGCAAGTTATATATATCCACGCAATGTTGAATGTAGCCATGCTGTATCATATCTGTTTGCTCTTTTGAATATGGCACAACATTGAAGTCTTGATGCTCGTTATCCCCACCAAGTTATGGTGTTCGTTCGCGGCACAACGCCATCACTTGGGGAAGGTTTGCCGACCCCCCTGACTAAGCCCGCCGGCAACAAGCCATCCATTGTTCGACACCACAAAAGCAGCCAACCAGTGAACAAATTCACTAGGACTGCTAGACTCGGCATTTAAGCCGTGCCGTATCTGTCCGAGTGAAAAAGGCTCTATGATTCCGGCCACGGATCGCCCGTCTCCGCGTCTTTGTTCCACAGCACTGAACCACTAGTGTGCCAACCCTTCTGGAGCATGCAGAGCAGGTAGCGGGGTATACCAACAACTCCACTATGCGAGCCAGCGTGTTGTCATGTCCAGCGTCCACTGGAAGTGTACCTCAAGCGCCCGTTTCCAATTTTTTTTGTCAAGAATATAAATGTCTAAACTATTCAGTCTTTCATCAAGTAATCCGGTATGGTGTGTAAGTTCATCCTCACAATACCCCGCCTTCCAACTACGATTCTAATAACTCCCAGATCGGCTAGCATCCGTCGCTTTCATGTCTCACATGCCAGCTTCCGACGAGAGCCGGGTTCGATTCCCGGTACCGGAACATGTATCTTTTTGCACAGAAAACTTCTTTTTTGCCATTTTTTGACTTTGGTGGTGAGAATGTGCCGACCCGCCGAGGGGGGCTAGCCCCTTAGACTAGACACCACTTTCCAGAAGCTGCGCAAGAGTCCTAAGCATTGAGAGACGAATATTTACTAGGAATCATGTTGGCTGCTTCGATTTGCGAGATATGGAGTATCCGCAAACCCCTTACACCATCCGTCGTGTTCGCGGCCTGCATTATCGTCAGGTCCACGTGAGAGCCGCCACTTCCTCTGCAGTGCATCGGTACGCATCAAAATGCGCCGATAATAGTTTTTGGAAGGCGCTGTCGTCGTCATTACCCTGATGGATGGCATATCGACTGCCGAACCGATGGCAAGCGGTAAGCACTTTCCAGAAGTCCCGCTGGAAATCCTTCCCAGTCAGCTCCTGAACTCTCAGTCTAGAGGAGAATGCCCACCAGTTTTCGTTTCTCACTTTTGCACGTTTGAGTATCCGCAGGCCCTGCAAACAGTAAAGCCGCAACAAAGCCTCCAATGGCAAGCACCGACCGGAGCTCGCGTTTCCCGTGGTGAGTGTCGCCCATTCATACCATCTACCAAAGGGTATGAATTGCAAACCTTGTCATGGGTTGTTTTTACATGTTCTATGGGTCCACTGTATCCTGCTGGAATCAGTCCACAGCAACGACCATCAACGCCGGCTACACCTAGCTCGACCAGAGGAGTCAGATACGCATATGAACCGTCCAAGATGAACGATGGTTTACAGAAAAACAACGCATTCTTAGCCAGCCACGAGAAAGCCACGCCCATACAAAACATTGCACTGCCTAGTCCAATCGCCTCCGCCGTACTGGGTCACATTCCCATCGCAGAGTCTATACAGGTAGTCAGAACAAACGAATCCACAATCCAAGTCGACAAAGGCGTTTCAGTACATCTAAAAGCTAACACGACCTGCCGAAATGAAGAACTTCCGAAGTGTTTGGCGGAAAGCTGTGACAACATGCCGTCATCGTCCAGTCCACCTTCTTGTTGCACATTGACGTGGACACGCAATAGTGAATCAACAACCAACCATATGAGAGATTTGTTTGTATTCTTCATCACCACGCTAACAAGAGCCCACTGGACCTAATGATTCCAGGCGGAGGTATCCGCTACGAAGACTGAACCCGTACCTAGACGCGTCGAGCGCCCCTGCATCCCTCACCCCTGCATCCCAACTCCCCAATATACACAGTACACGCTGACGCTTGGGTCTTGACGATCTTAACTCAACTCTCCAATCAATTCCCTATAAAGTTGTGACGGATGGTTTGGAGCCTCGGGACGATCGGAACGATCGGAACCGGAACAGAAGCGTTCCGACCCACGAGTCACTCACCTTGCGCACCTGTGTATATCAATACCGAGCTCGGTATCGCGCGTCACGGCAGGTTACTTTTGCAATTCTGATCATCTCTATTCCTTGAGCATCGGAAGACCCTTGAACGACGCTACCTCACTGTCACTGTCTCCCAGTCTAATGTCGCAAACGATCGAGTGCGGCACAGTCAAGATCTCTTGGCCTCCTGAATCGCTGGTTGTGGGCCTGGTGGCGGCCAGCGCATGCAAGCACCCTGAATATCGCCGTCATCTCCACCATGTTGTTTTGCCATCAAGCCGTCAAGCTGCTGGTCGCGGCAGTCATCGCCGCCATGGTAGAGTCATGAATCTGATAATAAATGCTGACATTGCAAGGCAACGCCCAAAATCCGACTAGGATTGCTCATCCTGAAACCGGTGGGCTACTACTGCGTCGATTCCACCCCGAGTGAAACCCGTGGACCTGCGCAACGCTTTCGATAGATGATCCTACTTAGGTTCCTGAGCATACCGGGCATTACTCCACTAGGCAAATTGCAGGAACAGCTGCGCAGGGCTGCTCACATCGTCATCGGGTTCAAGCCAACGCACCTACTATCTTCTAGTAGCATCATGCCCAACGTCAATAAAGTGCGCGGGGTATCGAGGGAGAACCTCGGATTGGAATAAAGGATATATCTCCGGAAGCATACTTACGGCCCGTTCAGCGGCCGGTTCCATGACCTATCCAACGTAAATCTCCTGCCTGGCTACTAGAAAAACAATTTACGTAAAACTCTCCATACGCTATGAGATAACATATACATGGTCACCTTGTATACTTCGTCGTCGCTCGATATACATGCAAAGTGTTGCTGGCATAGGCTTTTAGGTTTGTAGCATCTCTATATCGGATGATTCCAGGCTCAGTTACTGGTGCGCGACTACCAAACCTGTATGTCTGTCCAGCGCATGTGACAGCACCAACAACATCCTAATCTGCTACCAATCACCCTGGTTAAGTTAGAAGTTGGTCAGCATGCTGTCATGAACCTAAAGACCCCGAACCTCCTTCGCGAGGCTGCCTCGATGCGAACTGCACACACGAGGCTACCTGCAAGCGACGGTTCATTGCCGGTGTCCCACTTCGTTGCTGTTTTCTATGGGGACATGGGTTTCTATGAGGAATTACAGGACAAGTCTGTCCCTGATGAATTCCAGATCATCAGAGGTGGTGTGGCTGTCGACCGATGGCGCTACACCAAACTCTATTTGATATTTGAGAGCAGGACTGCCGAGCAAGCATCCCTTGATCCGGGCACTGATCGTCATGCGACGGTAAAATCACAGCGCTACCTCAAAGTTGGAGATTGCGACCGCAGGTACGAGGCACGTTCGTATTACTCGTGATACCTCTTGGTCGAGACCGTAGGTATGAACAGGAAGCCCAAAAGGATGGAATCACTTCCGGATATACAAGCCCGTCACTAGTGTACCTGTTTAGTGTGCCGGTGCACGTCATACGGAACCTTGATAGATTTACGAGCCCTTTCAGCACTTGGCAGTCTCAAAGGGGTAAAAATCACGTCCTAGAGCCTTTCATTGGTCGAATATGTAGCCTTGATCGTCTGACCGGGATCGTATTTCTGGTGAGGACATGAGATTTTCGCCCGAGCCCTAGTTCGCGCGAGCTAGTAGTAGTAGTAGTAGTATCCATTAACGTCCTTTTTCAGTCAGAGACTATGTAGGACGGTGGCCTAGGGCCGTTTGACTAGTTTTTTCCCTCTATACCCGTAGGATTTCGTTTCTTTGGTCGAGTTTGACTATGGGGGTTTGGGTTTTTTGCTTCTATACAGGAAAGAGAGAGAGACCTTGTAATAGACACCCGTTTATCTCCACCTTTGTGACCAATCCCTTTGCTATAATAACCCCGTGCTCCTAAGACTGAAAAAAAACCTCGTAGGGGAAAAAGTCATGGGACCTTGAACGTTTGTTGTATATAGCGGCAGTTGCGGCATATTTTCGTCTCGGCGGTACTTTGTGGCTCGGTTGTACGGCGGCGGCTAGCGTTAAGCGTGCGGGGTATTGGTGAAAAACTTTCCAGGTTTCGAAAGGAGCCGTTCGATGTTTTTTGGTAAAGCTAGAATAATAGAATTATTATAGCGGTGAGGGGAGAAGGATTCGAACCTTCAACCTCTGCGAGCAAGCTAGCAGAAGCAACCAGGCGCACTACCACTGCGCCATCCCCCCTTCGCGCGAGCTAGTAAAGGGTAAAAAAACAGCGATTGGTCACATCGGTGAAACATGACGATGGCTGGGCTCGAATTGCGGCTTTCTGAATCACAGTTAGAGTCCACGCTGGACAAGTGAACAATGCACGCATCAGGAGATTTGATACCGAGACTAGGCTGGTCCCATACGAGAGTCACGCTTGTCAGATGCCACTGTGGATATCCGTGTTTAGGCGTGTAGGAAACTGCACACTCACGAACTACCGGAACGTGGATGCATTCCAAAGATTCTCGGCCAGATCTTCGCCGGAATCTGGAGATGCGGTCGGGTCTCAGGCACTAGCTCACCCTGTAGCTTACAGCTACATCTTGGTCGGTATCCACCGAACTGTTGCATATAGATCGGGTTATTATCCCAAGACGGATGCATGTCCATTCGACTGGGAACTACGACCGACCCTAACAGAGCGCCTGGACGTTTTCGTGACATCTGCCCTACGATCCTCTGCAAACGCGCTCATAATGTCGTCCCAATTCCAGAACTGGACGAGCAACCCGGAGGAAACGCATGGTTCTTTGATGGCAATCTCGTTGTGGGCGATGGGGGGTGTTTCTCTTCTCTTCTTGGTCATCCGTTGCTACATTCGTCAAAAGCAAAAAAAGTTTTGGTATGATGACGGTGTACTTGTGGTCAGCTGGGTAAGCGACATGGAACTATAGGTAGATGGCTTATCACTCATACGATGCAGTTCCTGCTACTCGTGCAAATAATCTTGAACCAACTCAACATAAACTTGGGCTTTGGAAAGCATGCGCTTGATAGTAAGTCACTTCCTTGGAGCTGTACGGGGTATCTTTTCTAACGTGAGATACAGTCAACTTTGCCAACTTTGAACGCATCACTTATTATGGTGCATCCGGGCTCACAGTCTCCATTTTTGCTATCATTCTGAGCAAGATTTCCTTTGGGCTCACTCTACTTCGATTGACAGAAGGGTGGCTCAAGGCATGGGTCTGGTTCGCTATTGCCACTCTATTCATATTTGCGGTACCGGTTGCCATCATCCCATGGGTACTTTGCAAGCCTATCACGAAAACGTTCGTGGATATACTCCCCGGCGAATGTGTTGATAAGCATCCCTCTGTAATATATGGAAGATTCCAAGCTGGTTCGTATGCAAAGCTACCCATATCACTCCACCCCGAGCACCCAGCTGATATGGAGTGAAGTGTGGGCCGCAATTATGGATATATCTCTGGCATTGTTGCCTTGGAAAGTTCTTTGGGGACTTCAGATCAGACTCCGCAACAATCAATCCAGATTGGTCAGATTGATTGATTTGATTGGTCATTTGGAGTTTTTACCAACTCAATCAACTCAATCTAAGCTTTTCAAAATAGCTAATCAAATCAACTTGCGAAGGTCAGATTGATTGATTTGATTAGTTAGATTGATTTATTATTAACGAGTTGTAAGGCGAGTAGTGTCGTATTAAGAGAAGGTTTTTGGTGTTGAAGATAGTTATCTTGGACCCCTATCTCGCTTAGCTTGTGATCCCTGTCGGCCGGGCAAGCCAGTCTCTATGCATTCACTTCTCACCAGCTAGCTCTCCTCTTATAGGACTAGCTCCTTCTGCTTAGGGGCTAGCCTCTTCTAGGCTTCACCCCGCACCTATATAGCTAGTCCTTCGCTGTTCTTAATACAACAACGATTTCGCTCACTCAGTTCCCTAATAATCCCTTACACACAACACTAGTTGCCTAGCTACCTATACAGACATTTTTCTTTAGTGTTTAGTATCGCCCACGATGGCCAAACGCTCTCGAGTTCCCACCAATACTGCTGCCGCCGCCGCCGCCGCCAAACGGGCGCGCCTATCAAGGCCCTCTGTCCTATCTCAGCGATCGCTGTCGCCTCAGGAAACCCTTGGCGCCGCCGTAAGCCAGGCCACAACGTTTGAGTCGCAATTTTTCGAGTCGCAAACAGAGGAGGAGGGTGCGGCTGAGGGCAGCCAGGCTGGTACAGCAGCAACAACAGAGGCTAGTGTTGATACAGAGCCTGATAATGGCGATAACTTTGACGGCATTAACTGGGATCGCCTCCCTCGGTTCATGAAGCCTCTTACAACTGGGCGGCGCGTCAAGAGTTGGATCTTTCAACATGGATATCGCGTTGTTGAGCTCTACGATCAGAATCGAGTGTGGTTTGTATGCAAATACTGCCACATCCACAAGGTCATTGACACTGGCGGCAGTGGAGTTTTTGACGTATCAAAGGCCACCTCCTCAGCTGCAGCTCATCTTGGCCTTCAGAAACGAGGCCATGGCTTTACAAAAGACGGCCTGAAGCCTCGAAGAACAGGGCAGCAACTCTCTCTACGACAGACGCTGGAGACTGGTGTTGCAGTCTCTCAAGAGGCTGCCAACGCGATGGGCAACTTCAACATCCAGCAGTTTCGTGAAGTTGCAGTGTTCTGCCTTCTTGATAACAACTTGCCAATGGAGCTACTTGCAAGGCCGTCCTTTCGCGAGATGATTAGCCTTGCAAACCCAGAGGCAGAGGCAGCTTTGTGGGTAAGTCCTCGCAGTGTAGCTACCTACGCAATGCGCCTCTTCCAATATATGCAGCCACAGATTGTCTGCGCTCTGTCAGAAGCTGCAAGCAAGATCCACATAAGCTTTGATGGTTGGACGACAAAGGGTGGCAAGCGTGGATTCTTTGGAGTCGTTGCACACTTTGCTAACGCCTCTGGAGTGATACAAGATCTCCCCATCGCCCTCCCACATCTCGCAGGCTCTCATACTGGTGATGCTATCGCTGATACAATTAAAAAGACGCTCCAAGAATACAGTATTGGGAGTGATAAACTCGGCTACTTCGTCCTCGACAATGCTGCAAACAACGATACTGCAGTCTCCTCGCTCGCCCACGCGTACGACTTCAACGCTGCTCACCGACGCCTCCGCTGCGGCCCTCACACGCTTAACCTTATTGGCCAGGCAATTATCTTTGGCAGCAATCAAGAGGCGTACAACAACAACAACGACGAGCAGCTCCAAACAGAGGAGGTGTACATGCAGGAGTGGCGTCAAGAAGGGCCCTTAGGTGTACTTATCGACGTTATCAACCATATAAAAACGCCTCAACAACACGAAATTTTCCGAAGCTTCCAAACCGCCGCCAACGCCGAGTTGCCAGCTAGAGAGCGCCTCCACGTACTTGAGCCTGTGAAGCCTGTTGTTACACGCTGGAACTCTTACTACGCTGCCTTCAAACGCGCAACTCAACTCCAGGCAGCATACAACTCTTACGCTGAGCACTACATTAACGCACTCTCCCTTGAAGATCGCCGCGCTTGTCAACGTGGCAATAAACTCCCTGAAGCACCTAGTTGGATGAGATCAACAGGACTTACAGCTGCTGATTGGGCGGTGATAACAGAGTATCAGGACTGCCTAGAGCCGCTTAAGCTTGCTACGGAGAAGCTTGAGGGTCGCGGAAAGGCAGGCAAATACGGCGCTATATATGAGACTATTCCTGTATTTGAATACGTACTTGGCGCGCTCGAAGCCCGTACGCGCTCGTACGAGCAAGTTGACTTCAACCCACCTGATGCGCCTGAAGATCACCTCTTTGTTAACCTCCGCGCCGCCTGGAGTAAGGCCAACGATTACTACAACAAGCTCGATCGATCGCCAGCATACTACGCTGCTACCTGCCTCCATCCATACTACAAATACTACTGCGAGAACAGCTGGGTGGATAAGCCAGAATGGCTAACATCAGCCAACGCTGGCTTCCTGCAGCTCTGGCAGTCGTATAAGCCTCAACGTACACGTCCTCTATCTCAAACAACTGCAAAACCAAGGCATAGAGGAATAGATGATGTGATTGGCGCCCTCGTACGGCGCAACAAGGCTCAGGTAGAGGCTGCCCACGACGATGAGTACGAGCGCTGGAGAACTCAAGAGCCAGAGTGGACAAGCGAACAGTATCTTAGCGATGGCCACCCAGTCAAGTACTGGATTCAATTACGCTCAAAATACCCGTGTTTGAGCCAGTTTGCGATTGATATACTCACGATACCAGCATCTAGTTGCGACTGCGAGAGGCTCTTTAGCGAGCTTGGCGATTTACTTGAGCCGCGCCGGCGAGCTCTTGGCAGCGAGTTACTTGCTGCCCTTCAGCTTGTACGTTCGTGGAGACGAGCTGGCTTTGACGGCTTGTACAACAACGGTGATGATGAAGATAAGTGGAGTGACGTCAAAGATGAGGAGATTGTACAACAGTACGATATAGAAGGCTGGAGTACAACACCATAACCCCCTGTATACTACTTCTTAGCATCAATCAGCCAATCAACCAATCAATCGCAATCAATCTGCTCAAAAACCCTAACAATCAATCCGCAATCAATCAGCAGCGTCGCCGCAAGCTAATCAAACCAATCGACAACCTTAAGATTGATTGATTTGATTGTTGCGGAGTCTGCTTCAGATGCGTTTTGCGGAGAAGATTGGAGTTGGTATCGCCATGAGCTTGGGCATCTTGTAGGTTGACCTGCTGTTTGTCTACGGAGCCGTGCTAACCAATTTAAAGAGCAGGTGCCACAGCTATTGTCCGTGCAAGATATGTTGAACAGCTGCAAGAAGAGGACCTGTCTTGTGAGAAAACCAAAGACTATCTTCCATCAATGGCTGACAAACCTAGATGAGGCCTACAATTCCGTCATATGGTCAGCAGCAGAGAGTGCAATGACTATCGTTGCTACATCCATCCCCATACTGCGAGTCTTCTTTAAGCAGAGGATCAGGGAAGTCATCACCAGCTACCAGAACTCATCAAGCCGAAGCAAGTCCAGAACCAACGCTTCTGGAAGCAATCCTTCTCAACCTTCGCAGAACGCGAGTGCAATTGCACGCGAAAACAAACAGCGCTCCAAAAGGAACACGATACACACGATGGAGCACACCAGCACAGATTCCCTGTTCGTTGACTTGGAGAGCGGCTCAAAAGAAGGTCACATAGAGCTGGACGATCTCGTGGTCGATGAGAAGACTGGGCGCGTCACAGCTTTGACTCCCGAGACTACGGAGTCGATTCCAGTCCATATATCACCTGTACACATACGTAGTGAGCGCGATGAGCATTGGCCTTTGGGAATTCACCCTGTCTCACATGGAGAAGGCTCCACACCGATGATCTGTTGTTGTGGACAACATCTGGGCACAGCACCCCCAAGCAGTTCTGTATCATGATACCAATAAAAAATATGAACAATAGTAAATACCCATAATTGTATTGCAAGTAATGTTATGTTGGTGGTCTCAGATGAGAATTCCGGTCAACAACCGGCATCGCCCAACAACAGCCTTGCATGAATACCTAAGATTCGAATTCCTGGTAGCTCTCGCCAAATCCTTGTTAATGCCCCAACCACCTAGCACGCGAGTCACTGGAGCGATAACGCATTGGTATCTTCAGTCTTGGCCTCCTACTCGCCCCTGTCCCTTGCGTAGATTGCGGTCCGTTTACGGCTAGCGGCAAGCGAAGATCCCCATGCCCCATGCGCCGCCCGCAACGCCTCAGCGGGTTCCCAGATAGTAGTACGAATGCAGACCCACAACCACGGAAAAGCCTAGTATCCCCGGACACCCTCTAACACGAACCGTGAGGGCATCGCCGCCACAAGTACATACGTCGGTTCCATGCACCGGTCCAGTCAGAAAGGACGCATTTTGCCACGTGATTACTAGTCCCCGTCGCAGGCATCAGACGAACTTTGAGGCTGCACTGACAACAACCTTCACCCGCTTCGGCCGTTCTCTCGGCCGCTCCTAGAAGCGATTCGATGTTCTACGCTCCCGCAGTAGGCAGGTTGCCCTCGTTCAAAGTACCCAATTCGCCGATTAGGCACATAACTAGAGAATTAAACTTCGAACTCGAACCCCGCTGCAATATGGATGGCCACCTCGTCAATACCTGCCATCACGGACAGGCTGTATACATATAGTGCGACTGCATTCGCCGTTTTTCTTTTTCTCCGTCATCGTATCTACCTACACTCCTTTCTGTTCAACAAGGTCTTTTCGTAATCATGAAGCTATCATTGTTGTGTAGCGCGACTCTCTTCACTCTGGCAACCTACGCCTTCCCTGCAAACCTTCTCAACAACGACCTCAGTGCAGAAGCTCTGGCAGAAATCACCGAGATAGCGGCAAAGATCACAAGAGAGGCAGAGACTAAGCGTCAACTTGGCGCTTCTATCCTCCCTCCTGGGTTCGACGCAGATGCTCAACGTATCAGCACCACTGGCAAATGGCGATACGTACGTGGATCTATAGGAAGAGAGATTTGGATCATGTTGATGGCTGATATCGCCACAGATTCCACCAGGTCCAGATGACATTCGTGGGCCATGCCCTGGTTTGAATGTCATGGCGAACCATGGCTATCTTCCCAGAAATGGTATTGCTTCAGTCGTGCAGATGACTCTCGCATCCAACGAAGGTGAATTATAATCCCAGCAAGTTCACATCATCACATGAACTAACAGCGTCATAGTGTTCGGTATGGGGCTTGATCTCTCCGCCTTCCTGTCAGTGTACGCCTCTGTTATGGGTGGAAACATCACTGCAGCTTCCATTGGCGGTAAGCCAAAGAGGCAAGAAGGACTTCTTGGTCTTGTTGGCGGACTCGTTACCGGATTGGACCTCCTTGGAGAACCGCAAGGTCTGAGTGCGACACACAACCGCTTCGAGGCCGACTGTTCTCCTACGCGAGCGGACTTGTACAAAACGTAAGTATCGTTCGTGAACGTAAGATTCTAAGACTGAACAGTTCTAGTGGCGACCCAGTGTCCCTCAACGTTCCCCAATTCGAGCAACTCTATGCCATGCCCCTCGGTCCCAATGGCTACGACCTCACAGTCATGCATCCCTTCCGCGGCAAGCGATTCAAGGACTCCGTCGCTACCAGTGATCGGAATGGTCTGGTCTGACTTGGTCTTGGTCTGGTCTAGACCGCCAAGACTTGGTCTGGTCTGGCGATTTTTTGAGACCGTGGTCGGACCGGTCTAGATGATCGGACCGGTCCGGCTATAAATAGGTCCACGTGACTAGATCTTAGACTAATCTAGCCAGAAAATTTAGCACAATATGAGTCATTAAGATCAAGGTAAGTCTTCTACTTACATAGAACAATCAAGTCCTTAACAACCTACTTATATACTATTGTTATGGAGCCTTCAACACCAACCTCACCGTCCCCATCGAATATTATAAGACTAGATTTAACGTCTCTTACTCCATCTCCTATCCCCACGTCATCACCCACCCCTATACTATCACCCACTCCTATTCAATATCACGAATCTCCAGATGAGTTCGTGCAGGGCGGTATCACGTACGTGAAACGTGCAATAATTGCAAGGAAGGATTTCCGTCAAGGTACATCACACATCTGGAAGTACGGACTCCAATACATTCGAGATAGCGATAAGAAAGAGGTGTATTACTGCCATGAGTGCAGGGTTGGGAAGAGCAAGCAAGAGTTGTTTGTCATCAATGGCACTTCTAGGATCCGGAATCACCTGGAACAGAAGCACCAGATTGATCCCCAGAGTGGCATCAAGCGAAAGGGTTCTGTACGGAAGTCTATAATCGACCAGCAAAAGGATGGGGCTGCTTCCAGCATCTTTTTCTGGAAGGAGTCAGTAGAGAAGTTTAAAGAGCTTCTAATTCGTTGGATTGTGTACTGCCATATCGCCTTCTTTCAATTAGAGAACCAGTACTTTCGTGAACTACTCCTCTTTTTAAATCCGGCACTACTCAACCACCTCCCGAAGGCTGCGAAGACTATCCGAAGCTGGGTAATGAATGCATTCATATCGAAGAAGCAACAGCTTAGGGAGGACCTACACCATTCACGGAGTAGGATCTCTATCTCCTTTGATCTCTGGACTTCACCAAACCCTTACGCTATCCTAGGCGTCGTCGCTATGTGGATTGATACTACCGGCATGCGACGTGTTACCGCTTTAGGTATGCGACGTATATACGGCGAACATACTGGAGAGAATCTTGGATCGGTGGTCCTTGAATTGCTGGAAGAATACGACATTAGCGGAGATCAGATTGGATACTTTATGCTGGATAATGCCTCGGCAAATGATACCGCTGTTGAGTTTATACTCAAGGATCTCTGCCCATGGATGAAGTCAAAACAACGTCGTCATCGCCGGCTGCGTTGCTTGGGCCATGTCATCAACCTCTGTTGCCAGGCGTTCCTTATGGGGCGAAACTGTGAGAAGTATCTTGCGAAGCTGGAGAAGCATCATCAACGTGGCGACTATACGAAGGTGGAAGAGCTCTGGAAGAAGTTCGGATGTTTGGGTCGTCTTCACAACCTGGTGCGATACATCAGGCTTACTCCACAACGGCGTGAGGAGTTTGCTACAATTATTATCGGCGGAGATCTTTCGCAATTCGACGGGCTTGAGCTTATCCAGAACAACTCGACCCGCTGGAACTCATGGTTTTATTCGATTACACGTGCATTAAATGTTCGAGAACGTTTAGAGCTCTTCTCGGCTCGTCATGTACCTGGAAAGGGCTCCGTAGGGATCGCGAACTTTAAGCTTGATGGACAGCACTGGTTTGAGCTTGAAAAGATTGAACTCGCTCTCAAAGACTTCTATGCTGCAACTTTGCTTTCTGAAGGTAAGAAGACGTCACTTGCGGACTGGTTTTCAACTTTGGACTGCCTTCTCCGGGAGATAAGCGAGACGAAGGATCACTACCACGACATCCACACTGAGGACGATAACAACTTTACATGGAAGTACCTTCAAGGCTGCGCTGATGCTGCTTGGTTAAAGTGCGTTGAGTACTATAACAATCAGCAGCTGAATTGGCAAAATCGATTCCCTGAAGATACTGACCTTCCACCGACATATTATGCGGCTCAAATCCTTGATCCATATCGCAAGTGGGGATGGTTCAGGCAAGAGTGGGTTCTTCATGGCGACGAAGAGAAGAAGAGGTGGTTTGAAAACGCACAATTAGCGGTGAAGCATCTCTGGGAGACAGAGTATAAGGGAAGGTACCCTGTCGAGATGCTGCCACCACCAGCCAGGAAGGAGAGAGATCCTGACCCAGCATTTGATCGCCAGCGGGAACATAAGCGCATTCGAATAGACGCTCCAGTTTCTACAACTGATTTGTATGAACAATACATCTCTACTGACCGGCTTCATAACGAAGAGGCAGGTTGCAATGAGGCTATTGCGTACTGGCTATCTCGCTACGACTCCCAACGAGATCTCGCTCGCTTCGCTCTAGACATGTTTGCGATCTCGCCTATGTCGGATGAATGCGAACGTCTTTTTAGTAGCGCGAAGCTTACTATCGTCGATCGCCGTGGTAGGCTGAAGGCAGATATTATAGAAGCGTGCGAGTGTCTCCGGGCCTGGTATGGAAAGCCCCAAGCTGAGGGGAACAGCGATATCGAGGATAGTGAGAACGAAGACGACTAGATTGACAGTCAGTAGTAAAACACATTTCCTCGGCTTCCTTCTTTGCTTCAGCCTCATTCTTGGCGTTCTTGTTGGTCGGACCGGTCTGGTCGGACCGGTCCTTATGTAAGCACCTGGTCTGGTCTGGTCTGTACCCTCAGACCAGACCAGACCAGACCATTCCGATCACTGGTCGCTACCAACGGACGCTACTGGGCCGGACCTGTCACACATTTTGCCATCAACACTGCGACATACCTGTTCACCTACCACTTCTTTGCCAACCACTCTGCGAAGTACCCTGAAGGTTATCTCAATGGAGAGACACTGAAGTCATTTGAGGGCGTCACTGGTAGCCCAGGAAGCTTCAAGTGGGCTTCTGGACGTGAGAGGATCCCCGAAAACGTACGTACCCCACACTCCAATTGATCTCCCACATCTGCTAACCTCTTCCACAGTGGTACCGTCGCGCTTTCGGCAATGACTATGGGATCGCAGAATTCACTCTCGACGCCGTAGGTGCCCTCAAGGCCCTTCCCTACATGGCTGTTGTAGGCGGCAACACCGGAAAACCCAACACCTTCACCGGCGTCAACATCGCGGATCTGACTGGTGGCGTCTTCAACGCCGAGACACTGCTTGAGGGAAACAACCTCATGTGCTTTGCGTTCCAGGCTGTCAACTCCGCTGCTCCGGATGTCCTCAAGGGTCTGCTTGGTAACGTTTTGCTTGCTGTGCAGTCGTTGACGGATGCGCTGAATCCGATTTTGGCAACGCTTGCGTGCCCGCAGATGGGCAAGTATGATAAGTCGCTGTTTTCGAAGTTCCCTGGTGCTGGTGCTGGTGTTTAGATGGGGATGTAGATGTATGTGTGTGAGGTATGTGGGGTGGTTTGGCAGTTTTCTCTTCAATGCTGTATATATTTACCCTAACTACTCTTTTAGCAAAGTTTATCTGAATCTTTGCTCTCCCCAACTTCTTTGTCATCTTTGGCCAACTGATCCTTTTATGTGTGGCACAATCACAATCACGTTCACGATCAGTATGAGCACATTGCTAGTAGAAAACATCTGTATTGCATTCAAAAGCTTAATCGCTATCATTACTCCATGCCTCCAATTGGTAGAAGAAACCGTGGATGCTATCATTAGCCCATTCCCCCAATCGGGTGAAAACCCCATAATATGCACACCAATTGTTCAAATAACAATCTCATGTGATCCCCTGATGCTCTCTAGGACGCCCGGACTCCATACTCCTCCGCTAACTGTACCGCCAATTCCAGCGCGGTATTCTCCCTTCAGTGGTAACGTGTTCCACGGGCGAGCGCCGCACCCCACTAACTTTCGCACCTTTAAAGTAACGTATCATAACAATATAGTTATATAATATAGAGATATCTATAGAGTAGATTTAGTAGTATCTAACTATCCTTTTCGCACGTACGTAAGTTATGTCTAGTCTCTTTACACCTACTGCAGCGCCTTAGAGCTGTCAGATAATAGCTGTCAGATATTCACTATCATCTGGAATACTGATGAAATGGGTAATGATCTTGATAATATTGATGATTAATTGTGTCGTTGTTCTGTCTACCGTTGTGGGCTCACCTAGGGGTGCCAAGCCTTCCTGTGATCCGATTGGCTCTCACAGATGCCTGGTCGCGCTAGTCTGACCCAGCGTCTGTACGCTCTCATCTTCAACAGTGCTATTGTCTGACACAACTAGACGGAAAATGAATACCAACCAACCAACCAACCAACCAACCAACCATTCAATCCAGAGAAGATACTCCAAAAGCTTAGATCTACAGATGTCGAGAGCGATAGCGAGTCTTCTAACCTTAGCGCTTCTGATTGGAAAAAGATTAGGCATCTTATTGATTGCGCTGTCAATCACATAGAGAGTAGGAAGATCTCGCGGCTCAATCGAATTATCATGAAGCTATTTACCCAATCAAAGCTTGTTCGGCGCGAGACTGAGAAGTTGCGAGAAGCTCTAATCAATGAGCGATAGCGGAAGCAGCGATCTCAGTCTGGAGCACTCGAGCGATCTGAAGATCATCATGGTAGAGCTGATTTCTGGTCGCCGCGGAAGGTGCGGGAAGCTTGCAGCCTCCACGAGCAGAAGAAGCGCGATTAAGACCTATTACGACAACAAAAAGCTGCTGCGATCTAAGCTCGGGAGGATTCAAAGCTGATTAAAGCACGCGAGGTTAACGCGGAGCGTTAGGCGCGAGGCTACTAATGGAAAAGCAGAGGGCTGATGAAGCCGCTGAGCGAGCAGCTCATTAAGCAGCCCGCAAAGCAGCAAAACGGCTTCAACAAGCTATCAAAACTTCCTAAAAGGGTAAGAAGAAGGTTTCTAAAGCTCGTACAAAGCCGAAACCGAAAGACCCTATCATTAGTAACCGTAGTGGTCATGCGTAGCCATCTACTCGCACAACAAGACCACCGCCGATTCAATCGCGACGTGGGCGCGATATC